GGCAGCCGGGGTGCCTCTGCTTCTCCCTGCACCCTTTAGGTCTAGACACAAACTCAGGTGATGTGACCTGGTCTGGCCAGCAGGTGCTTGCCCGGTTACCTCCTGGGTTTGTCCCTTCACCCAGATTTCCCCCGTGTACTTCCCTCCTTTCACTCCCTCTCCCTATGAGGCATGCTGTCTCCCTGCAAGGCAACTCTCCTGCTTGAAGGATCTCAGCACCACCAGTGAGACCAGAGACCAGGCAGCAGATGTGGGCTGTGGGCTGGAGCAGCACTGGAGGTTAGGTCTTGGAGCCTAACAGAGGCTCTCTTGTGGTCAGAGCTAACTGTTCTTGCAAATGTCCCCAAACCCAAATTTCCCTAATTTACTTGCTTACTGTCTTAGCCTGATAATAAGAGGGTGTGTATGTCGTCCCATATTTATGGCAGGTAGCATTGTCCAGGGAACACCAGAAGCTGTGTTACACAAGTCTGTGGCCCTGTGCTTCATTTGTTTTCCATGTTGCTGTCAAAGCACTTCTGACCCAAACTGATACAGTGTCAAACTTTGAAACCTTACACTGGGGCAAAATGCAGGCGGCAACAAAGCTTTCATCCTCACTCCAGCCTGTAGAAGTGCTCTCAGTCATGAGCAGCCTAGAGATGAAAGTAACTATTCTTTTTCTCGTCTATTTCTGAAGGAGATTATTTGATCTTGAATATAAATGGAATCTCTTCAGGCTGGTGACAATCAATGCTTGAGCCTTGTAATTCTTTCAGCAGCCTTTGCTATCATTGACCACATAGTTGTTTGATTGTAGCTCAGAATAAGAACTTGTTCCTGAGTGGTTCTGTTATTTCCCAAAATTGGAAGGTGCTGGTTGCTTCTACTTCTTATGATTATTTCTCCTTTCTGTGCTCTTTAAGCTTAACTGCTGCAAATCCTTTTGGCCTGTCTATTGTCATAGTATCCCCAAATGGTTGTCTGTTGGTATTACTGTTGGTATTATTAGGAAATCTTAAAGACGCAGGAGCAGGCGGTCCCAATGTGCTGGCGGGAAGACAACTGGCCTGGCTGAACAGGGAGCTTTTGCTGGGATTCAGGGAAAAGAGGAGAATTTATCACCTTTGGAAGAAGGGGCAGGCAACTCAAGAAGAGTACAAGGATCTTGTTAAGTCAAGCAGAGACAAAATTAGAAAAGCAAAAGCCCAGCTAGAACTCAGTCTGGCCACGGTCGTAAAGGATAACAAAAAATGTTTTTACAAATATATTAACAAAAAGAGAGCCAAGGAGGATCTCCATCCCTTATTGGATGTGGTGGGGAACACTGTCACCAAGGATGAGGAAAAGGCTGAGGTACTTAATGCCTTCTTTGCCTCAGTCTTTAATAGCCAGACCAGGTATCCTCAGGGTATTCAGCTCCCTGAGCTGGAAGACAGGGATGGAGAGCAGAAGAAATTCCCCATAATCCAGGAGGAAGCAGTTAACAACCTGCTATGTCATCTGGACACTCACAAGTCTATGGGGCTGGATGGAATCCACCCGAGAGTGTTGAGAGAGCTGGTGGAAGAGCTTGCCAAGCCACTCTCCATTGTTTATCAGCAGTTCTGGTTAACAGGGGAGGTCCCAGAGGACTGGAGGCTTTCCCATAGAAGGAGGATCCGAGGAACTACAGGCCTGTCAGCCTGACCTTGGTACCAGGCAAGATTATGGAGAGGTTCATCTTGAGGGTGCTCACAGGGCGTGAGCAGAACAACCAAGGAATCAGGCCCAGCCAGGACAGGTTCATGAAAGGCAGGTCCTGATCTCCTTCTATGACCAGGTGACCTGACCAGGTGACCTGCCTGGTGGATGAGGAAAAGGCTGTGGACGTTGTCTACCTGGACTTTAGTAAAGCCTTTGACAGC